TATTTGCTCTGTGCCTTTGTTTCATTTCCCTTCCTCTCCGTGCACAAGGAAAAAAGGGGCTGTTCTAGGGCTTACACTCCATTCCATCCAGCCCAGCTCCCGGACAATAGAAACCTCTGTAACCCCATTTCAGATCCCCTGGATGGAGACTCATTTGTCCAGGGTGGGTCAGTGGCAGGGAAGCAGGGCTGCCTAGTCCATACAGCCAGGCCCACCCCTTAACGGGGCTGCGTGGGATGAGCAGTTCCCATCGTCAGAGGTCATAGGAGAATATTTCAGATTTCTCAGACAGAACGAGCATATAATGCACACCTTCGATGTGCCACATCCGGTGTCAACTGCTTTCACATCCCTAATGCCACTTAATCTCTTATCTACAATGTGTGAAAGTTTGTGCTGACTAAAAGAAAGCATTTTCCATCGGGCTCAACTCGTGGTATATGCACAATGTTAAATCAAGGCCACCACTGGTAAAATCATCTACCCAAGGCTAGGAAGAGGCATCCTTGAAATGGGATTGCTGGCCACAGAGGTTGGTTTCCAGAGGGTGGTGTCTTCAGGTCACCAAAACACAGGGCTCAGAGTCCCTCCTGGTGAGTGAGCTGCACTGGCCAACAGAGAGATATTTCTGAAAAACGCTTTAGAACCCATCTGATGGGAAGAGAATCTGTTACAAAAACTCTTTGGTTCTTATATAGTAATCTGTGAATTGCCTGTTTAAAAATCCTTCCTGGTCTTTATGAAAGCTGATTGTATACTTTAGAAAGAATGATGGCTAATGCCTGAGGCTGAAAATGAGGAGCTAGACACAGGGAAAATCCATATTCTTCAACTTCATCAGTGTGGGGTAGGCAGAATCAAAATCCAAACCACATTTTCCAAAAATATTTTTCCTCTTAATTCTGAAATACATGTGTATTATATGAGAAATCTAATCCGTATGTTTCTTACTCATTTACACTTAACTCATCAAAGTGTTTCCTCTGAAGAATTATTTGATGTCCAAGAACACTTCAGAGATTTTTTTCTTCTCAACAAGGCTTTGTTCTTAGAAATAAAGAAGCTGCTGAATTTGTACACGCGAAGAATCAATGAACTCGAACCCCAGAAATGTTCAACTTTGTTTCAAGCAGGTTCTATATTCAGGAGAAACAACTTTAGGAATGAGCTCTTTCTCTTTTAAATTTTTTAAGGCGTGTGGGGCGGGGGGTGGGGGGGCCTCTAAATGGATGCTTGGATTTTCATGCCAAAAAGATTTCCTCTTCAACTGTTGATAGGCACCATTAGATAGATGAAGTCCATCTTCTTAAGGTACTCTGAAGTGGTCTTCGACTTTTTAGTTAGAAGAGGCTGCACCTAATTTTGATCCTTCCCTCATAACATGTGGCAAAATCTGCCCAGAGGAGGATGAGATCTCCTTCTGAGATTCCCCAGCATGTGTGTTAGAAAGAACAAAGCTCTTGATGAATGAGGTGCCATGGAACCACCGGGCTTGACCACCACCTAAGCCATCCATCAGGACGGCCTGATAACCTCTCTCATGCCCTGCATGCCGAAATTTCTTCCTTAGTTTGCCAAGATTTATCTTTATCTTTCATTCATATCACATTTATTGTGTATCTCTTAGCATAGCTGTGTCCTGGGACTGGGAGGAAGGAGAAGGCACTGCTTCTGCTTGTGAGACGGTCATCATTTCACTGGGAAACAAAACACAAGTGAGAAGTTTATCAGAAGTGTGCTTGGTGGGTATTGCAAGAAAGGAAGGATGCTCATGGATGGACTGAGCAGGAAAAGCGTCCCAGAGCAGGTGGGCCCTTCAGTCCAGGAACAGGAGCCTGAGTATGGACGTGGCCACACCCAGACGAAGAAACAAGGCCCCCTGGGCTGGCATCAGTTGGACGGTCCTTCAAATTGACGAGCTAAAAATATTTGCTTGATGTGTATCTGGAAGAGAGACTGAGGACTCACTGCGGAGGGTGTCCAGGACCAAGAGGGGCAGGGCTCATGGTCTCTATCGCCTCTTCAATTCCACTCCACCCAAATTCACCCACCCCACCCAGCAAGCCCAAAGCCGTGCAGTCAGTTACCTGGTCACCCGCTCAGTGACCTTCAGTTGTAACTTCTCACGTGCCCTGGGAGTCTTACCACCCATCCAAAGTGCTCTTTCTGTGTTCTAGTAAATATAAATTTCTTCATCTCATTCCATTTCTAATGAGGTTTTAACCCACTGTGGTCTTTTCTGGGACAACTGCCTGGCTGGGATGATGTGAGAAATAGGCAAGTACTTGGCTCGGTGCCTAGAGAAAAGGAACAGGCTAAAGAGGAGAAAATGGGGTCTAGGGACACCGCATTTGTCTATTTCCTCCTATGTTCCAGGCCAGTGCTTGGTGTCTTACAGGCACACACTCAGCTATTCTCTGTAACAGCACTGCAAGGCAGGTGTTGTGATTCCATTTAATAGATGAAGGAGCTGCATAGAGGCTAACACACTTGCCCATAGGCAGCTAACAAGGAGTGGAGCTTGGATAGAGATGCAATACAGGGTTAGGATGGATTGCGGGGGAGTGAAGCTTAGAGTCAGGGAGAGCAATGAGGAACCACGAGAAAGCTGGCTACAGGGGAGGGGCAGTGAGCTGGAAACGGGTCATATGAGAGAGAACCACAGGCAAAGAAAGAACAGGCTTTCGTGACTCTGCCACCTGCGAGGGTCAGGAGTAATGTTGGAGGGAGAGGAAAAGAAGTTTCTGGTCCTGAGAAAGCATTTGGTGACACTGAAACCTGGATGTCAAGTAGGGGCACGGGTTTGAATGGAAAGATGCTGAGTCTGTTGTGTCTGAGGTTCTGGAAGGACTGCAGTCTAGGCTCCTTGTCCTTGCTGGAGAGTGATTGGTGCTGGGTCAGAGGACTAGCCTTGCGTTGAGGTACTGAAGATCATAGATGGGACCTCCAGGCAAGGAAGCAGAGCAGTCCGCTGGACACTGGACCTTTGGGACCACCATCCTGTGTCTCTCACGATACAGTACCACTGCGGTGGGGCCTCTGCTGCCTCTGAGGCAGAGCATGGGCGAACTGAAGGGATGTTTTCGGTTGTTCCAGTGACCGAACGAGGCCACCCATCTTCAATAGGCATACAGGGTATACGGGGATACAAGATGTCCTACCCTGCACGAGACAGTTCTGCACAACTTATACGGACTTGTACATAGATTTTTCACCTAAATGAATATCCAGTGCAATATTTAGAAATCAAGAGGTATCCAGAGTAATTTTTTGGTCTCTGAGCTTAGAATCTAACCACGGTTTCCATATATACATATACCTTTTGTGCCATTTAAATGTATACTCAGTTTCACAAGAATGGAAATAAAAAATTGTACTTTGTTTTGCTGGCATTTGACTGAGTTGTTCCATGTCAGAAAATCACATCTCTGATGGCCACATGGTTGCTAGAATTTGAGTTAGTTCTCTGCATTAATAGTGATCCCATTAAAGGCGATCCTGCATATGTATTCAAGTATCTGATTATTTTGTCTTCAAGTACTCATGTCTAGCCATAAGTTGAAATACATTTTTTTCCCTGTAGATTCTTTTCTTTTATCCTTCACATTATAGTTAGGTCATTATATTGATTTCTTTTTTATTTACATTATGCATATAGATGAGTTATTTTATCTGTAACTTTCATTTCAGGAGAGTGAAGGAGGTGTTACAAATTAGTTGTTATAAGGCAGGGTTGGGACTAATGGAGTTAAGAACTACTGGTTCTAAACTAGCACCATCCTATAGACATATAATACAAGCCACAAATTAAATTCTAAGTTTTCTAGCAGATATCTTAAAAACATTAAAAGTACGGGATATTATGCAGCCTTCAAAAGGAAAGAAATCACGTCATATCCTACAACATGGGTGAACCTTGAGGACACTATGCTAAGTGAAATAAGCCAGTTACAAAAAGACAAATACTATATGATTCCACTTATATGAGGTATCTAAAGTAGTCAGAGTCTTAGAAACAGAAAGTAGAATGGTGGTTGTCAAGGATTAGGGGGGAGAAGGAAAAGGGGAGTTGTTATCTAATGGATATGGAGTTACAGATTTGCCAGATGAAAAAGTTCTGGAGAGCTGTATTTGTGAATATAATTAACACACTGAACTGTACACTTAAAAACAGTTAAGATGATAAACGTGTGTCATGTGTTATGTGTTTTTTTACAAAAATTAAAAAAAAATAAAAGGAGAAAGTAAAATTAATTTTTATATGATGTATTTATTTAACCCAGTATATTCCAAAATGCTATTATTTCAACATACAGTTGAAATATCAACTTCAATTAATCAACAGAACAACTATCAATGAGATATTTTATATGCTTTTTCTCATACAAAGTCTTTGAAATCTGTGTGTACTTTGTACCGACAGCACCTATCAAGCCAGACTAGCCACATTTCTAGCACTCAATAGCCACATGTGGTTAGTGGTTACCATACTGGATGGCAAAGTCCTAGATAATAGCTAACACTTGTTGAGCAGACCTTAAGTGCCAGGTACTGCTGTTAATGCTTCCCGTGGAATGACTCATTTAATCATCATAACGGACCTATGAGACAGACACAATTATTGTCCCCGTTACACGTGAGGAAACTGAAGCTCAGAAAGTTTGAGTCGCTGGCCTGAGGTCACACACCACTGTGACCCCGAGTAGAAAGCTGAACGCGGGCATTCTGGTTCCAGAGCCCTGACTTTATTTTTATTTTTTTTGGCTGCGTTGGGTCTCTGTTGCTGCGTGCGGGCTTTCTCTAGTTGCGGCGAGCAGGGGCTACTCTTTGATGCGGCGGCTTCTCTTGTTGTGGAGCACGGGCTCTAGGCACGCGGGCTTCAGTAGTTGTGGAGTGTGCGCTCAGTAGTTGCGGCTCACGGGCTCTAGAGCGCAGGTTCAGTAGTTGTGGCACACGGGCTTAGTTGCTCTGCAGCATGTGGGATCTTCCCAGACCAGGGCTCGAACCCGTGTCCCCTGCATTGGCCAGGTGGAGTCTTAACCACTGAGCCACCAGGGAAGCCCCCAGAGCCCTGCCTCAACCACTGTGCTATGGGTGCCTTTGTAAGACTTTTCCCTCAGACTCCTTTTCCAGCCACTGGGAGTCGGCACAGCCCTGGCAAGGCTTCAGGTAGCAGGAACCTGGCTGGCCCACCAGGTAGGCTCGTTTTCCCACCCGTTCCTGAGGAGCATGGCCGAGGCACTGGCCAGCCCTTCTGAAAAGCAGAAAGAAACCTGTGCTTGCTTCACGACCCCTGCAACCTTCTCTATTCTTCTCTATATTTCCATTAGGAGAAGTGGTGCGTCTGGCAGAGAAAGACAAATATCATATGATATCACTTACATGTGGAATCTAAAATATGATACAAATGAACTGATTTACAAAACAGAGACTCACAGACATAGAAAGCAAACTTACCGTTACCATAGGGAAAAGGTGGGTAGGGATAAATTAGGAGTTTGGGGTTAACAGACACACACTACTATATATAAAATAGAAAACAACAACAACAAAAGTCCTACTGTATAGGAACTATAGCCAGGGAACTATAGCCAATATCTTGTAATAAATTAATATGGGAAAGAATATGAAAAAGAACTTATATATATGAGAAACTAAATCACTTTGCTGTACACCAGAAACTAACACAACATTGTAAATCAACTATACTTCAACTAAAAAAAAAAAAAAAAAGAAGAAGTAGTGGGTCTGGGCAAAGACAAAACACAGCTGGGGCAGAAAGACTGTCCCAACTCATGCATCTAATAAAAACCTGCTACCAGCACCTTGCTGGTGAATTATTTGCATTCCAATAACTTTTTCTCCTGGGTTTTCCTTAATAAGATAGATTTCTTCATTTCCTGGGACTCCCTCAAGATTATACTGACAACTTCCCCATTAATTACCAAACTACGCCCCACCACAAAATGATTACATTTGCTTCCTACCTAAACACCTCCCCTCATTGATGAAAAGTCTCACTTAAACTAATATGCTTTTAACTTGCTTCATTTCAACGCCTCCATAGTGGCTACTAATGAGCTGACTCCTTGCCCAGCTGGTCCCTCCGCCCTTCCTTGTGTTCTGTTCCAAGACCAATTTAGATCTGTCGGAACAGGAAAGGGGAGGGCTCGCCCTTTGAATCATAGGCTTGGCTGGAGCCTTCTTGAGGGATGAGGACACACGACCTTGAGCGTGAGCCCCCCCACAAAAGTGAGACTCCACTTGCAGCTTCCAGAAACACAAAAATTGCCTAAGAGTGGGGCCACTGAAATAAAACGGCCTCCCAGTTTCGACTGAGCAGCTTAATAAATCAGGTAATTATACCCAGATTCCCTTTACCGGGGCCTCTTAATTATTATTTAATAAAGAGATGATTCCAGGCTGTAACCCGCGAGGCTGGCGGCATTATAAGCATCTCACTGGAGAAGTGCCTCCCCTCAGACGTTGTCCTCCTCTGGCAGGGAGACGGGGTGCTTTGAAAGGACCCCTCATCCTTGCTTCTGAGAATATCATGTGCCAAGCAACTCCTCTTCCTGGCACTGTCTTCTCTGGGGTGTCAGATGGGTCCCTTCACTGGAGGGCTGTGAATCAGGTCAGTCTGTTCCTCTGAGTAACCCTGATCTCATTCTGCTGGCAGCAGGCAGCGGCCTGAGGCCCTGCTGCCTTCCGAAGGCTGCCCACTCATGTGGGCAGGAAGAGTTCCCCTAGTTCCCACTGTGAGCCAGGCTCCGTTCTAGGTGCTCTCGATGCCTGTCTCCTTAAATGTTCACGTGGGTCTCTTGATATATGTGTCCCTCCCCATTTTACAGATAAGGAAACTGAGATTCACTGGATTGCCCAAGGTCATACAACTAATGGAACTGGGAGAGCTGGGATTTGAACCTACGTCTATATTATTCCAGAGCATCAGGGCTTAACTCCTGTACCATACTGCTAGGGGTTAGCCAGCCAGGAAGAAAATTATTTGGACCATGTTTTCTTTGGTAGATTATCAGAGAACTTTGGTAGATTATCTAAGGACATCCATTTTCATCAATATTGATGGTACATCATGCTCTTTGTCCCTAACCAGGGACATGTACAGTAATCATGGTTTCCCCTTCCCCGTCCCAGTAGTATTCATTAGACCAGGGATGGACCCATCATCCTGGCCAGACCAGTAGGAGTTCTTCCCTGGAAATTTTCAAATTGGAAATGAAGAAAAGAGGGGCCTTACCCACTCTAATGGTACCAGCAACTAGGTACATATGAGCTCCAAGGGGCCAGGGGTCATGGTCCAGGCTTGTGGAAAAAGGCAAAGACAATGTTGACAATACACAGAGAAAGAGAAAAAAGTCCAATGGTATTCAAGCCCCTGATTCAAATATCTGGGACACAACAGGTCTATTTCCCACAATTCAGCTATGTAAATCAATACATTTCCCCCTTTCGTCCCAAATAGTCCTACTAAAGTTTCTATCACTTGTAATAAAAGTGCTCTAATACGCCATGCTCTGGAATTTGGTCTGCTAAGGACAATGGGGCGCCTCCTAAGGGTTTTAATATGTAGGGCAGAGAGGCGGCTGTGCCATGGTAGAGAGGAAGGGGATGCTGTGAGCAGGAAGTCGGCGAGGAACCTCTTGCAGTGTGGGCAGCAACGGTCCCACGGGGAGATGTTGAGAGCCAGAACCAAGGCGACTGGGGATGGGGTCAAGAGATACTTAGTTGATAGAAGTTTTTAGATTTGATGATTGATTAAAATTGGGAAGATGATATTGGAGATGCCCAAGATGATTCTTAAGTGGATGGTGGTGCCAATAGCTGAATGGGAAACACAGGACACACATTGTACTCAGGGGAGGTGAGTGGTGAAGCAATAGGTGATAAGCTTGCCTATGGAGAGTTGACTGGTGTCCAGCTGCATGTGGCTCCTTTAAGAGGCATGATATGTTCTGGCACCATGACAAAGGTGTGCTCCGGCAATCACCTGCTGGTCACGGCCTCAGTCCTGACTTGATCATGCTAACCTGTGCCTCACACCCCTTTCCATCCTGCTCTCAGCTCCCAGTCACCAAGTGGTGTTATTTTTGTCCTTGCATCAGCTTCCAGATTTGTCAGAACTGGTATTGTCTTCCTCATAGAACTTTGGCTCCTTTCCATGGGATTCTGTCCTTCCTGCCGCTCAGTTGAATTGAGCTGCCTTGGATAACTCCCCCACTGGAGTGGTGGAGAAGGACGGCTAGCGCTGTTAAAAACAAACAAAGGAATCATGCTGCAGGAAGCTGACTCCAGCCAATTTGGCTCCTTATAATTATTAGGCTTTTTGTGCAGGGTATCTATAGCCTACCATTGTTAAAGGGAGCTGAGGATTATAGATCTCCTCTACCACGACTGCCCAACTAAGGGGTTGGTTGCATTGGGTAGGTTGCATTGAAAGCAAGACCCAGACCAAATTCTGCTATCCATACAAAGATTTACTAATAACCAGGCACTACAAACATGCACAATCTTTTTTTTCCCTAAGTTTGCTCTCTGCCTGACACAGAGACAATGTTCTAGTGGCAGAATTCATCTGGGCTACTAGTCACAATCAGGCAACAGCCTCATCTGTTAAGTGAGGCACAGAGATTAGGTGGAATCTTAGGCATGGCGAGCCATTATGAAGGGTGTAAGCTCTTGAGCTTGCAAAATTCTTACACTCTGTTCATGTAACCATGGAGAGCCCGTATTGTATTTCTAGCTATCCACCATATCTTTTTCACCATTCATTTAAACAATGAAAATTATATCTAAACCCATTATACAAATGAACAAACTCTCTAGTGAGGATGGAAGATAAAGATTGCTGAAACTCTACCCAGAAATAAACCCACGCATATATGGCCAACTAGTTTTTGACAAGGAGGCTAAGAAGACTCAGTGGGGAAAGGATAGTCTCTCCAATAAATGGTGATGGGAAAACTGGATCATCACAGGCAGAAGAATGAAATTGGATCCCTATCTTACACCACTCACAAAAACTAACTTAAAGAGGATTAAAGACTTAAATGCAAGACCCGAAACTATGAAATTGCTAGAGGAAAACATAGGGAGAAAGCCCCTGACATAGGTCTGGGCAAAGTTTTTTTTTTTCTTTTGGATATGACATTAAAAGCACTAGCAGGGGGCTTCCCTGGTGGCGCAGTGGTTGAGAGTCCGCCTGCCGATGCAGGGGACACAGGTTCGTGCCCCAGTCCGGGAAGATCCCACATGCAGCGGAGCGGCTGGTCCCGTGAGTCATGGCCGCTGAGCCTGCGCGTCCGGAGCCTGTGCTCCAAAACGGGAGAGGCCACAACAGTGAAAGGCCCGCGTACCGCAAAAAAAAGCACTAGCAACAAAAGCAAAAACAACCAAGTGAGACTGTATCAAACTAAAAAGGTTTTGCACAAAAAAGGGAAAAATCATCAAAATACAAAGGAGAACAGGAGAATATATTTGCAAACCAAATATGGAACAGAAGAAAATATTTGCAAACTGTCTATCTGATAAGGCGTTAATATCAAAAATATAGAAATAACTCATACAACTCAATAGCAAAAAACCAAACAATCCAATTTAAGAATGGGCAAAGGACTTGAATAGACATTTTTCCAAAGAAGACACACAAATTAAAAATAGAGGGCTTCCCTGGTGGCGCAGTGGTTGAGAGTCCGCCTGACGATGCAGGGGACGCGGGTTCGTGCCCTGGTCTGGGAGGATCCCACATGCCACGGAGCGGCTGGGCCCGTGAGCCATTGCTGCTGAGCCTGCGCGTCTGGAGCCTGTGCTCCGCAACGGGAGAGGCCACAACAGTGAGAGGCACACGTACTGCAAAAAAAAAAAAAAAAAAGAACTATCTATGATCCAGGAGCCTTCCTTCTGGATATATATCCAAAGAAAATGAAAACTCCAACTCAAAGAGATATTTGTGCCCCCATGTTCATCGCAACATCGTTTACAATAGCCAAGACATGGAAACAACCTAAGTTTCCATATAAAGTGACTATATAAAGAAGATGTGTATATATATCATATATATGATATACAAATATATATATGATATACAAACATATATATATCATATATATATATATATATATATATATATATATATACAAACATTATTTACCCATAAAAAAGAAGGAAATCCTGCCTTTGCAACAGCATGGATGGACCTTGAGGACATTATGCTAAGTGAAATAAGTCAGATACAGAAAGACTTTTTTTTTTTTTTTTTTTTTGCGGTTTGCGGGCCTCTCACTGTTGTGGCCTCTCCCGTTGTGGAGCACAGGCTCCGGACGCGCAGGCTCAGCGGCCATGGCTCACGGGCCCAGCCGCTCCGCTGCATGTGGGATCTTCCCGGACCAGGACACGAACCTGTGTCCCCTGCATCGGCAGGCGGACTCTCAACCACTGCTCCACCAGGGAAGCCCCAGAAAGACATATTTTATGTTCTCACTTATATGAGGAATCTAAAAAAGTCAAACTCATACAAATAGAGAATAGAATGATGATTGCCAAGGGCAGGGGGTGGGGAAGGTAAGAGGTGTTGGTCAAAGGTACAAATTCCCAGCAATAAGATGAATAAATTCAGGGGATCCAATGTACAGCATGGTGACTATAATTAACCATATCATATTATATATTTGAAAGTTGTTAATCGAGCAGATTTAAAATTTTATCACCCCAAAAAACAATGGTAATTATGTGAGTGGGCTAAGGTGTTAACTAACTTTATTGTAGTAATCATTTTGTAATATATACATGTATCAAATCATCACATTGTACACCTTATACTTACGTATATTATAAGTCAGTAATATCTCAATAAAGCTGGAAAGGAAAAAAAGATGGTCGAAGCTCTTGTAGAAGGTGCTTCTGGAGTGTGACATCCAGTTAGCATCTATCAAAGCTTACAAACACTCTGGAATGTGTATTCCTGAGCACGGCACTTCAGATGTTAACAAATTGCTCCTAGGAGGTAAATTAAAAGTAACAGATCAAAAAAAAGTAACAGATACATCTCTCTGTCTAGGCTGAAGTATTTGAAACTAAATTGTATGTAATATAATTCATGCCATGTACTCACCTCAGAACCTTTGGAGAAGTATTCTCTGCATACAGTGTCTTCACCCCCTTCTCACCCATTTGCCTGGGTAACGTCTTATTAGAATGGCTGTCACCTCCTCCAGGAAGTCTTCCCTGATCCTCCACCACCCCCACCAAGGCAAAGTTGAGTGACTCTCACATCTCCTGTAGCATCTGTGCTAACTTTTCATCATTGGGAATCAACTGGTCTTTTCCCTATCACTTGACTGTAATCCCCAGTCCTTTTATCCCTAGTACCAAGCAGAATACCTGGCCATTAGCACAAACTCAATTTGTTTGTAAAATTGAATTTAACTCAAACAAGAAAACAATTTTGTTTTTCCGTCTCATTGCTTCCCAGCCATGTATTGGAAAAGGAATCACCAGTGATCATTTGTTGGCCAGAGATAGGTAACTGATGAAAAGGAAATGAAGGAGACGTGGCCCTGGATAGACCGTAAGAATGAGAATAATTTGGAAGTGACCAAACGTAGAACCATTTTTAGTTTTTTCCTTTAAACACTCCAAGTCTTTACTGAGTTTGCACTCAGGGTGGGCTCTGGAGCTGGAGTAGCGGCAAGTATCTTCTGTACTGGCTGATCTCTGATATTTACCCTGAAGAGACGAAAGCAACCAGGAACGTTAATCACTTGATGCTTCCCTAGGAGTCCCGCAATTCCTAGTGGAGAGAAGGCTGGTAAGGTGCTGTCTGCCAGACAGAAAGCCCATCAGGAGGCTGCTGACCTCATTGTGTCCAAATACACAGACTTGGACTTGACATTTGCCAAAGTGCAGCTAAACAAATGGTGGTAAAATGATGCCCCACCTATTCAGCCCACATCAAAGTGGCTACATGTGGTTTTCAACGGTAGAAAATAGACTCAGCAGGAATACTGAGATACGGCCCATTTATTCCTTATAGGGACTCTATTCCTTCGCAGCTGTAGACCTGTGATTTTAAATAAGACCAAGTCTCTATCTCATTGGATATTTTGTCTCATTTAAATAGTAAAGAAGGAGAAAGGATGGCGTGGAATTCATGCATTCAAAATAGGTAAAGTTTACACTTTGGGATTATATGGAAAATACTGTGAGCAAACGACTGCTATCCCCAGAGGCCCCAGGAAAGGAACTGGAGGCTGGGGAGGGTCACGATTCCTGTCTCTCTTCTGCACCCACAGCCTCGACTTTCTCTCCACCTCAACCCCCTTATCCCGAAACAACACAAAGTCACACCAGAATCAGCATTCTGGGTGGGAAAACAATGCAGGACAATTCTATAACACAGAGTGGAAAACCATGGTGCTGGGAAGTAGACTGGGCAGCAGCCACCTAGGGTACCCGGCCTGCTTTCAGGTAGAGCTGGATGGGTACGCATGGCCTGGGGCTGGTTATTTTTCCCTGTGGGGAACAAGGGATCCTCTGAAGAGCTCTTGGATAAAAGCTCTTTACATGAAAGTCATTCCGTGAATGAAATCTGGTGTGTCTGTGTTCTTTGCTCTGGTAAGTAGCAAAAATTGTCAGAGATAATAATTAAAGGCCCCCAAGCCCTCATCTGAAATTCAGGATTTCTCAGATTTTAGAAAGGTAACTCAGTAGCTGACACCTCAGGAAATGATCATACGAACATTTCTGCAGCAAGTGTATGACTATTCATTCCTTTGTGAAGCTGCAAAGCCGACAAGGAGCTCAGGTCAATCTGGGTCAAGTCAGAATGATGAAAAACTTTCGGTATTCAGAGATGTCTGAATCAAAATGTTTGAATAAGAGATCATGGACCTGTAATAACATTTTCCTGAAGGGCTTAGCTGTCTCGAGAAGAGAGACTCTGATTTCCACTACCCCATTTAGGGAGCCACTTAGCAGCACACAGCTTCAGGCTCAGAAGACTGACATCCTTCAGGTGAACCAGTGGCAACTCCCTCCCCCCTGCATTTCCTTCCCAGGGATTTTAAGACTCTGCGTGTGTCTTTTCATTTGTTCTTTCTTTCTGCATTGTGCTTAAGGCAGTGCTGGCTTCACTGCTCCCGAGGATACCCACAAAGTGAGGCAAGCCAGGATAATGGTTAAGGGCTAAGACCTTATAGTCAGAAGGAGCTTGGTTTAAATCCTACCTCTGACACCTTTTAGCTGTTTGTTGGATCCTAGGAGGCTGCTTGACCTCTCTGAACCTCAGCTTATTCAGCTATAAACCCTCATGCGGGGCTGTTATAAGAATTAAATGAGGCTTTAAGATTGCTGACAATTATGGAATGCTTGCTCTGTACCAAGCACATATTAAGAGTTCTACATGACGGGTTATTCTATAAAACAGATACCATCCTTATTTTATAGATGAGGAAACTGAGCCTTGGAAAGCTGGGCTCACTGGAGCCATATTGCTATCAAATGGAGAAGCTGGCATTCAATGCTAAGTCGTCTAATCCCTGGTACTCTCAACCACTCTGCTATAATGGCTCATTAGATGGTCGGCGAAATGTTTTGCATGGTTTCTGAAACAGAGTGAACTCTCAATGTATGATAAATACGATATCATAGTAATGATGATGATGTTAAAGGAGAGCTGAGTTTAAGCTAAATCTAGAGGCAGACCATTGAGTGACTTGGTTTTCATTGTCAACAATTACCCATGTGGTGCTCCTGACTTGCCAGCCTAGGGATAACCCCCCCAGAGCTCTGTCAACATCCTTTTTAAGTAGAGTCTCCCATATACCTGGCTCAGGGATTTTTAAAATGTTATCAATCTGTCTTCCATGCCCTCTAGTATAGCACTACTGTCTTAGGTCAGGTTCCTTGGGAAACAGACTCACAGGCAGAAAATTGATTGGCAAGTGCTCTAGGGATCAATGACTATGGGGAATGAAGGCTGAAGGACTGAGCAGAGAGAATTGCACTGCAATGCAGTCCCAACAAAGACCTCAGTCTATCCCACCCAGAGCACTGGGGCTAAGATGGTCTGTGGTGGGCAGAAATCTAAGATAGTCCCAAGATTCCTGCCCTCTGGTGTACATGCCTTGTGCAATTCCTTTACCTTGAGTGCAGGCAGAAGCTGTGAATATGATGGGCTATCACGCCCATGGTTAAGCTACTCATCAATTGACTTGGAGTTAATAAAAAGGGAGATTATCTGGGTGGGCCTGACCTAATCAGATGAGGCCATAAGTGGCTCTGAGCCCTTCCAAGCATGAGAGGGAATATGGGAAGGGCCACATAGCAGGAAATAGCAGGAAGGCCCTAGGAAACTGAGAATGGTCCCTGGTTGACAGTCAGCCAGGAAATGGGAGAGCAGTCCTAGAGCCACAAGGAACTGAGTTCTGCCAACTCTTGATTGAACTTGGAAGAAGACCCCCAAGCCTCAGATGAGACCCCCAAGCTCTGGCTGGCACCTTGGGTTCAGCCTGGTGAGACGTGAGCAGGAGATCCAGTTGTGCTATGCTTGGACTTCTGACCTGTGAGATGATAAAGGGGTGTGTTTTTTGCTTTATTTTTTAAATTAAACTTTTTATTTTGAGATAATTGTACATTCATGTGCAGTTGTAAGAAACAGTACAGAGAGATTCTTTGTATCCTTTACCCAGTTTCTCCCAAGGGTAACATCTTGCAGAGCTGTAGTACGAGATCACAACCAGAATATTGACATTGAGACAGTCAAGACACAGAGCAATACCATCACTACATCCTGTAGTCCTTTTATAGCCAGGCCCCCTTGCCTCCTGCATCTCCTTCCCCCATTTATCTTCGACTCTCAGCAATCACTAATCCATTCTGCATTTCTGTAACTTTGTCATTTCAAGAATGTTATGTAAATGTAGTAATATAATATGTAACATTTTGGAATTGGCTTTTTTCACTCAGCATGACTCCTTGGAGATTCATCTAACTTGTGTGTATCAATGGTTCATTCATTTTTACTGCTGTGAAGTATTCCATGATATGAATGTACCACAGTGTGTTTAGCCGTTCACCTGTTGAAGGATATCTCGGTCGTTTCCAGTTTGGGGCTGCTACCAGAAAAGCTGCTTTGAACATTTGTGTACAGCCTTTTGTTTGAACGTGTTTCCATTTCTCCGCAAAAATTTCTCTGGGATTGAAACTCTGGGTCATACGGTAGTTGCATTTTTAGTTATTTAAGAGACTGTCGAGCTTTTCCAAAGTGGCTGTACCATTTTACCTTCCCACCAGCAATGTATAAGTGATCAGCTTTAATGCCGTCACTATGTTTTATTTTAGATTTTCTGAGAGATGTATAGTGATAACTCGTTGTGGTTTTAATTTACATTTCCATAATGGCTAGTGACGTTGAGCATCTTTTCACCCACTTATTTACCATCTCTATATCCTCTTCAGCAAAATGTTCCTTCATGCCTTTTCCCCCAAATCTAATTGCTTTTCTTTTATTATTTACTGTTGAATTTTGAGAGATCTTTATGTATTCTAGATGCTATTCCTTTGTCAGAAGTATGCTTTGCAAATTTATTGTCTCACTGTCTGAAGGTTGTCTTTTCATTCTCGTAACACGATACTTACAAAGCAAATTTTTAAATTTAGATGAAACTCAATTTTTTTTCTTTTATAGATCATGCTTCTGGTGGCAAATCTAAGAAGTCTATGCTTAGCCTTGGATCCCAAAGATATTTTTCTGATATTTTCTTTTCTAAAAGCTTCGTAGTTTTACATTTTACATTTAAGCCCATGATCCTTTTAAGTTAGTTTTTTAATAAGATGTGAGATTTAAGTCGAGGTTCATTGAAAAAGCTAGCCTTCCTCCATTGAACTGCTTTAGTACTTCTGTAAAAAATCAGTTGGGCATATTTGTGTTAATGTGTTTCTGGATTCTCTATTCTGTTCCATTGGTTTATGTGTCTATCACTCTGTAAACATCACAGCTCTGTCTTGAAATCAGGTAGACTGATTCCTTCCATTGTAGAATCCTTTTACAAAACGATGTTAGCTATTCTAGTTCATCTGCACTTCCATATAAATTTTATTTATTTTTATTTTATTTATTTATTTTTGGCTGCGTTGAGTCTTCGTTGCTGTGCGCGGGCTTTCTCTAGTTGAAGTGAGCAGGGGCTACTCTTTGTTGCAGTGTGCGGGCTTCTCATTGCGGTGGCTTCTCTTGTGGAGCATGGGCTCTAGGCGTACCGGCTTTAGTAGCTGCAGCACGCTGGCTCAGTAGTTGTGGCTCGTGGGCTCTAGAGCACAGGCTCAGTAGCTGTGACGTGCGGGCTTAGCTGCTCCGCGGCATGTGGGATCTTCCCAGACCAGGGATCGAACCTGTGTCCCCTGCATTGGCAGGCGGATTCTTAACCACTGTGCCACCAGGGAAGTCCCCATATATATCTTAGAATACTTTTGTCTATACCTATAAAAAATCTTGCTGGGATTTTGATAAGAATTGCATTAACCCTGCATTTGGAAGAATTGACCTCTTAATTATGTTGAACCTTCCAATCCATGAGCACGCTATGTCTCCACTTACTTAGATCTTTGGTTTCTTTCAACATTGTTTTCAGTATAGAAGTTCTGTAGATGTTTTGTTAGATTTACACTTAAGCATTTCTTTTTTTTTTTTGAGTAATTGAAAATGGCATTGTATTTTGAGTTTTGATGTCCACCTGTTCATTGATATGTAGAAATAACAATTGCATATACAGTTGTATATCTAGAAATACAAATGTGTACAATTTTTGTATGTTTATCTTGTATATTGCAACTTTGCTGAACTCACTTATTTGTTCTAGGAGTTGGGTTGTTTTTGTTTGTATGTTTGTTTATAGATTCTGTGGGATTTACAACATAGACAACCATGTCATTTGCAAATAGGGACAGTTTTATATCTTCCTTCCTGATCTGTATGCATTTTATTTCCTTTTTGTGTCTTATTAATTTGATCAGAACTTCCAATAATATATTGAATAAGAGCGGTGAGAACAAACATCCTTTACCTTGTTCTTGGTCTTGGGAGGAAAGCATTCCATCTTTCACCATTAAGTGTAATATTAGCTGTAGGCTTTTGGTAGATACTTTTCAACAAGTTGAGAAAGTTCCCCTCTACTCCTATTTTCTTCTAAGAGTTTTATAATGAATACATGTTGAATTTTGTTAAAAATGTTTTTTGCATCAGTTGATAAGACCGTGTGATTTTTCTTCTTTAGCTATTAATATGGTGGATTACATTGATTGATTTTCAAGTATTGAACAGCCTTGCATTCTTTGAGTAAACCTCCTTTGAGAGGGTGAAAAGGACCATGGGGGAATGCTTTGTTGTATTTTAAGCCACCTGAGAACAAATGGTGAGGAGTTCACCAGGCAGTTAAGGAGGGAAAGAACTTCCAGGGTGACGCATTACAGTTACAAAGGCACTGAGGCATGAAACTGCCTTCTCTGAAAAAAATGCAAATATTTCAGGATGTCTGGAGTGTTGAGTCCCAGAGGCAGAGTGGCAGGAGATGAGGCTAAGCTGTAGGCCAGGCAGAGCTCCAAGGCTTTGTATGCTGTGCTCAGGACAGTGGGCTTTCACTGAAGGTGATGGAAACCACTGTGAGGCTGGATGTAGGGAACGATCCAGTAAAGTTTGCCTTTTAGAAGCCCCATGAAAAGGGAACTGGAGGGCTGAGCCTAGAGAAGGGGAACCAGTAGGAAGAATCCAGGAAAGGAAGGATGGAATCCTGTATTACCACTAACATTGAACTCATTACCTTCCTTCTTCAAATGCTTCTCCTCAGAGCCCCCTGACCCTCCTTATTCATTTGCCCAAGGCCGTCTCAAACTCTTCTTTCTTTTGTCTTCTACAGCCAGTTAGTTGGCAGAGCCTCTGTGTCCTCGTCCTCTTCTGTCCCTTTGCTCTACTCACTGCCACCAACTCAGTGAAACTGGAGTATTCGTATTCTCCTCACTGGCCCCCTACTTCTGCATTTTCTCCACCTCCAATCCATTCTCCATCCTTGCCCCTGTTTTCACCTTTAAAATTCCCTACTCTCATCAGATCACTTCCATTTCTACAAAAACTTCAGAAAGGGTCTGCTTGGTCTGTATCAAATGGAACAGACTCCTGGCTGCCTGGGGGCACGGACTAGGGTCTTCGAGGAACTGCCTTGGAAGGTCTTTGAGAGAAATCTCCTGTGAATTGTCAGGGGACCTCCAATGCAAAGGCAGCCATCTACGGGGCAGAGCTTTGGTGCCTGAAAAGATACCTTCTCTTTAGCTTGCCTGACCTCCACCAAACTGCTCATTTTTTCTTGTAGCCCTCCTCTCCAGCATACTAGTTCAGAATAGGCACACAGGGGCACTCAGCATGTACTTGGTGAATTGAACTGAATTGGACGGAGTTCAGCCAGGTTATTGCTTTATTATTATTTGCAATCTATCTGCATTTCTGGGACTTTTCTTCTCCCTGCTCCTACTTACCTCCCTTCTCTGCGCTTTACTGTTCTTGGCTTGGATTTATGGGAGGCAGGAGCCCTGGCTGTCCTATGGCCACTCAGGACCCCTGGACACTGAGTCTGTGCACCAGAATGATCCTGCCAGGCTCTCGGGGCACTTTTTGGTCTAGGTTGTGACAGTCTTAGGGACGGGGAGTGACCTGTCTTTGTGATGAGGGTGGGGGGCATGCCACTCCACCCCCTGCTAGCCCAGGGACAGAAGAGTTTTTATTTAGTAAATGAGTGCTAATATTTGATTACATGCGAAGCCCTCAGGAAGTCATTCCAAGAACACAGCGGACATTCCAGCCTTCAAGTTCCCTGATCCAGTCTCTCACAATCCCCAGCCACACACCTGAACACCAAAGACTGGATTCTTTACCTTCCTCCACTATCTTCCTTTCCGATCTGCTTCCTAAGCCCTCTCTGAGCCCCTTTTATGTCCCTGCACAGCCCAGGCATCCACTCTTGGCATTATCTCTGCCTGACTCCTCCCTCCTCCCCTCTTCCTGTTGCAGGTCGTTTGTTCAAACCTGTTGTATCTCCATTTATAATAGCTATTAGGGAATTCCTCTCCAATCCCAACCCTCTCTGCCTTTAAGTACTATCTGCTCACCTCTTGATCATGATGACCTTCTGGTCTTGGCTCATCCTGCCTCATGTGTCAGGAATAATGGTAGTGGTGTCAACGGTGAGAAGAGTGGCCTCAGGGGGATCCGAGGAGTTGTGAGGATGTGCTGGATGCTTGACTGAAGGACAAGAGGCCTTCAGAGTGGAGGTTTCTAAGAATCACCTTTGGGAGAGAAGAGAAACACACAATGGCAGATCCCAGATTTAGCTCCCACCCTATAAAAATCAAACCTCTACTAGTATCACACACAGTCCTCCAACACTGGCAGTGGAAAAAGAGCCTTTATGTAGATAAGGTGCCTGAATCTCATGGCCACAACTCCCAGGGAACAGCTCCTCTTTAATTTCCTGCCCAAGCCCTGCCCATAATGCTACTCTCTGTATCCAGTCCATCCAATGAGACCATGTTGGAGAATAGACACCTCTTAACCAGAGCACTTTGACTTCAGACAGCCTGGGCTCCCCTACTGTGTGATCCCATACCATCAGCATTTCCCCACACAACATAAATGGCCATTTGAGTGTAAATGAACATAAATGGCTGTCATTGGTCTGCATTCCCTGGACTGTCTCTATGTCACTCATCCCCACATTCTAGATCATAGTTCAGAGACTGCTACAAGATTGATGCTCAATAAATATCTGTTAAATGAATGAATGAATGGATGGGATGGATGGATGGATGAATGAATGAATTTTACTTATGGCTCAAGGATAGCAAAAGAGAAAACAGACCCAGAAAGCTAGCTGTAACTAAGGAATCTGGCTTACGAAGTGTAACTTACTCATCTCTAGCTTGTGTTCCTCTCCAGGGTCTCCCTGCCTAGCTTCTGGCATATCCCACATCTCTCTCTCTCCCTTTCCACCTGGTGCACTTCAGCACAGCTAGACTTCTCAAGACAGACCCACAGGGAAAGAGAGACAGGAGTTCCCTCCCATGGTAGGCTGAATCTCTAAGTTTCCAGGTTCCTGTATGAAGGGCTACATCTTCTCTGGATAATAGTCCACCCCTTTAGGGGTGTGTGCTTCCTCTAGGTCAGAAGGGAAAACAGCTTTCACCTCCCTTGGCAACGTTCATTAGTTTCTCCTAAAGTATTCTACTGAGGATTAGCAAGAAAGAGTAAGTGATCCACTAACAGTGCCTGCCACGGGTGTGGCCAAGAGGAAAGATAGTTTCTATGGTGCATATTTGCCTATGGCCTCAGCAGGACAACCTGTCTTTATAAAAACAAATAAATCTAAGATCCACACTTAGGGGGATTATTTCATACTTATCCTTTAAGGAGTTAAGGTTTCCATTGGCAGCCTTCACATGTACTGTTCCCCTACGGAGACTTGGGGAGGGACATTTTGTGTGTCCTTTTCTGTTGTGATTTTTTTTCTTCTGAGATGTAACAGAAGCTGAAGGAAGCAACTGCAACAGGATAGTGTTACTTAAACCCAATTCAGTCATTATTATTTTTGTAAATTTTAGAATTTTATTATGAGCCTTTAATGGGATGCTGTGCTCTTTGGCAAGCATCGTTCCTGAGCTCTGGCAATGATGATGGATAAACCAGGGACAGTGTATCCATCCTGCTTCTTGTTCTCCATGGGTCTGAAACACATCTTCCAATGGGCCCCAAAGGGAGTTTGACTCAGCACCTACACCAGGACTCTTGATATTGGATCTCTTCTTGGGAAACCAAGAATCGAGGGCAGCCACTGGGCTCCTTTATTTTTAAGAAGTATTTTCTTCACAGCACCCACCCACTAGAGCTGTGGGTGATGGCAGCTAAGGAAGGGCCTGAGTGGGTTTAAGTGGGTTCTAGGATTGAAGCAACACAGACAAGTTGAGCAGAGGAGGTGGAGGACAGTCTTTGTTCACCAGTCCCTGGCAGTGAGCTACAGATCCAGAGCAAAAACAGCAAAATGCCGTGGAGGGCAGAAACCAAAGGTGGGGAGACAGACAGCAGGACAGACGAGGGGAAGGAGTCACCAACAGGAAAGAGATGGGAGAGGTGACAGAGACTGAGCATATGTGCCCCATGAAGTCGAATATTTTCTTTGGAGGTCCAAGTTATCCCGTGAATTTTTTTCTAGTACTTTTCCACATCCCTGGGACCAAACATGTGCATACGACATGTCTAAAACTGATGTGTTTAAAGCAGTTTTTGGAGAAGCAGATAGAGATAAGCTTCCAACTTTTTTTTTTTTTTTTTACTGTACGCGGGCCTCTCACTGTTGTGGCCTCTCCCGTTGCGGAGCACAGGCTCCGGACACGCAGGCTCAGCGGCCATGGCTCACGGGCCCAGCCGCTCCGCGGCATGTGGGATCCTCCCGGACCGGGGCACGAACCCGCGTCCCCTGCATCGGCAGGCGGACTCTCAACCGCTGCGCCACCAGGGAAGCCCAAGCTTCCAACTTTTAAACATGGAAAGGGAGGATTTCTCTCTGACTCCATAATGTGACCAGTTCATTGAAACAAAGCAAGCATCAATGTATCCCCTCGCGCAGAATGTTTCAGCTTACCTTCATACACTGTCTCCAGCTGTTTCTCAGACTAAGGACTGATTATTCTTTTTTAAATTAATTAATTTATTTATTTTTAATTTTTGGTTGCATTGGGTCTTTGTTGCTGCACATGGGCTTTTCTCTAGTTGTGGCGAGCGGGAACTACTCTTCGTTGTGGTGCCCGGGCTTATTGCTGTGGCTTCTCTTGTTGCGGAGCATGGGCTCCAGACACATGGGCTTCAGCAGTTGTGGCACGTGGGCTCAGTAGTTGTGGCTCATGGGCTCTAGAGTGCAGGCTCAGTAGTTGTGGCACACGGGCTTAGTTGCTCTGTGGCATGTGGGATCTTCCCGGACCAGGGCTCGAACCCATGTCTCCTGCATTGGCAGGCAGATTCTTAACCACTGAGCCACCAGGGAAGTCCCCAAAATTGGTCATATACTTCTAAATGAATATACTATGTCCATGTAAAAACACACAGAAAATGGGTGTTTTAAAAGGTTGACATTTTATAAGCAAAAGTTCCACTACTTTCTTGTACCCCAAAGGATTGCCATAGACACCCCACTTTGGAGACCGCTGCCACAGACACAGGTCTCTGTGGATTCAGAAGAGCGAGGGTTACTATTGACCATGCCTGCTAGGCGCTGGATAAGTGGTCCAGTGGCCCAGTGAAAGATGTTTCCAGAGTACGGAAACACACAGGGATGTCTGAATGGTGTTGTGGGACAGTGAATGAACCATGGGGCTGGAAGTGACTGAGATTCTGGGCCTCAGTGTTAGAGCTAATAATAGAAGTATGGTAGCCAGGAGAGGAAGCTAGTCTTTGGGGAAAAGATAAATAAGGTGAAAAGAAGCCATCTGAGAGGAGCTAACCTTATACAGGGTGAGCAAATGACAGGTGACTCTGGATTTCATGTCAGTGTGGGAGAAGAACATGAGATTTTGGTGGGTGCCGCTTAAGGCAGATCTTGTGGTGTGGTTTGCAGAGACAAGTCAGGAGTTCCTGGCTCAAAATCTCCCCCCTACTGACTGTCACAGTGCCTGAAATTTCTCTTTTGAAAATTAATCTTTGTCAGTTAAAGGGCTGGAAGCCCCAATTAAAATGCAATCTGCCCCAACAGAAGTAAGGTCTTCATTTTTTGTGAGTTAATACCTCAAAGGGGACAGGTTGCTGAGAGCAAAACACTATAGAAATGTAGTGGGGAAGCTGGAGGTGAGAGAGAGTAGGAACCACAAGAGGAGAAAAGGTTGTACTAACAGGAGAGGTGAGAGGGCATGGGATCTACTGAAGGGAATTTTATGCTCATAATCAGCATGTGGCATCTTGGATTCTGCACTGAATTTTATATGTATATATTTATAAATTGCATAGCATATAATTAATATATACAATTATATATATTAACCACCTTATGAGAAAACACACACATACATATATTATATAATGCAATCATATATAACACACACATAAAATGTATAATTATATGTAATATGTCTTTTTGAGTATATATAATATATATATTTCTGAATTTTCTTACAATTTTCCTCTTGTGAGAAAACAGGCATACATATATTTGATATATAATATAATTAATATATATAATTATATTCAATTGAAATGATAAAAAGAGTAACATAATTATTATACTATAATTATAAATATAATTATATGTGTCATATGTGTGTGTTTTCTCACAAGGTGGTTTCCAGAGAGAAAAATTATAAGAAAACTCAGAAATAACCATTTTTCTGGACATAAGTAGCTCTAGCCATTGATTTTCTAAGCCTAAAAGCAAGAGAAGAAATCATAAGGGAAAGGATCCAATAGATTTGAATAATGTCAAAATTCTGTAAAAAAGGGAAAACACCACCAAAATTAAGATTGAAAGGCAAACTGAAGAAAACATTTGCAGTAAATACAACAAAGAGTTGCTCTCTTTGCTGTATAAAGAAGTCAAGCAATTCAATGAGAAAAACACAAAGAGCTCAATATAAACAGGCAAAGGTATTACACAGACAGTTCATAAAAGAGGAACTCTGACTAGTCATTGATTACAAGGACCATGAGGAAGGGACCATGTCTGTGTGTTCACCATTGCAGCCCCAGTGCCTGGGTCAGTGCTGAGTCACCTATTAAGTAAATATTTGTTGAATGATTGATTTAATGAATGAACACAAGAAAAAGTCAATCTTGAGGTAATCAAAGGAATGAAAATTAAATTTTTTTTTGTCCATCACTAGAGCAAACACTTTCTAAATGGAGTAATACCCAATGAGTATAGTAATTAAGTATAGTGAAAGGACTTTCTCATGGGAATCGATGGTGACTCCATAGGAAAGCAATCACCTCCTTCTTATGCGTGGGAGGATCACACCTCCTCACGCTGCCTCACCTCCTTGGAGTCAGAACTAGCTGTGTAACTAGTTCTGCCCGTTGGGTTATGGGCAGAGGTGATGTGTGTTACTTCTGGACTGAAGCATTTAGGAACCTTCCTCTGAAGATGTGATCACAGAAGAGGCCCCTGTTGGGAAGTTGGAGGCAAAAGACTGAGCAGCCTGGATTGCTGAATCCACAGAAGGAAGATGGCAGCTTCAGAGGCTAACCTGAACCCAAAGATGATTTTGTATGACTAAGAAGTAAATTCTTATTTTGTTAGGTCATTGAGATA